TTCAACGTCAACAATCTAAAGCAAGTAGGTTTTCGTCCGGTGGCCATTTCATTTCATTTTGAAAGTAGCCAGTTTTCAAGATTACGCTACGAAATTTCAGGGAGTTTCGTGGCGTACTTTTTCTGCTACATGTATTATTTACACTATTGTTTACCAATCTCAGAAATGGCTTCGATAGTTTCAGATGGTAATGAATGTTTACGAGACGGAAGTTAGTGTTCCTTTCTTCAAGAAGCACTCGAGTCTGGTATATCCCGGTTTTAGTGACACTCTTCCAAATCGGCATGAATAAGCCAGGGTTTCTGTTGATGAGATTCGTTCTATGGGCAAGATTAAACTGTGTAGCGAACAATACTGAAAATATGATCGGGCTCACCGTTGTTGTTGTTCCTCGCCATTTTCTCCAAAACGTCGAATTCAAAGCAAAGCAAGGCAAAGCAATGAGATTACGATGAGAGCAGATTGCGCGTGTAGAACAGCATGAGAATGAGCTAATCAGGCCCCGTGCGCATATATATAGTACGCTCTGTCGCAACGTACGGCGAGACACTACGTCTAGACGACGTCTGGCTGGCAGGGGGCTTCGCGGGTCTAGACACTACGTCTAGACGACGTCTGGCTGGCAGGGGGCTTCCGGGAGAAGTGGAGAACTAGACACGGACTTTCATACACTGGATTAGTAACAATAAGCAGAGCGGGAGCACGAACGTTGACGGCAACAGCGCACCCTATTATATAAACATGCCAGAGCCATCATTACTATGATGTTGGGCATCAAGGAGAAGAAGAAAACATGGAGGTCAGGAAGAAGCAATGACAGAGAGTACTAACTCTATGCGGCTACGACGACTTTCTTTGGTGTATACCTCCATTTTTGGAGGCAGTGGCTAGTTGTTCCAATGTCTATCTAACGACAATGACAAACTACAACAAGTGTAGTTGACATCCTCCATGTTGGATTACAGTGCATGTCTGTTCAACATGCCAGTTTTCCCGCCAACACCTGGTCGTCGAGATTCATATGGTAATTATTTTGACATTAATGAAAAGCCTTTAAGTACACTGTAATCCAACATGGCTCATGTGAAAGCCTGTTTGCTGCCACAGTCTGAATTGATAAGGTTTTTATAAGGCCCATTTTGAACTTCTGGGAGGGCAGTAATTCCGATCTTACTGATTAATACAACAAACTTGCGTGGCGGTTCCTTATTTGACGTTTATATGATTGCACACTGATGTCTTATTGGTGAATATTTAGTTCGACTCAAGTTGTTGACTGCAAAGGAGCCCTTAGAAACATATTTGGCGAAGGTATGAGACTGTGGAACTCTACTTTACACTTGTCAATTATATATACAGCATTGTAGTTGATTTGATTATACAACATCATGTCATTTGTCTTTACTCAGCAGTCTTAACAAAGATGGTACTGTTTGGGCTGTTTTGATATCGAGTAGTGCAGCAGGGTGCAAGTGGTGGTGTGACATATTGCTTTCTCTAATGTTTCTTAAAAATCTTCTTCTTCTCCTCCTGCCATTTCTTTAATTCAACTCAACCATTTTTCAGTCAAATGACCTGATATTTGGCATGGAGGTAAAGTGAGCAAATACCCCATACTTTTTTTTTCATTTTTTTTTAAACACGCCTTTAAAATCGTTTAATTTGTTTTTTTTTTGGCCATTTTCAGGCCAAAAATATACATTTTGGAACCTGGACTCTGGTACTAAAACTAAATGACCTGAAATTTGGTAAGGGGATACCCTGAACACGTCAGCAGAATGGCATTCAAGCTTTTGACATACGCCACTTCAAAGTTGTGTAAAATAGGGCTTTTTGGCTATTTCCAGACCAAAAAAAGACCAAAAATGTACATTTTTTGGCTCCTGTGCCCTAATATTAAAAACCAAATGACCTGAAATTTGGCATGGGAGATCCTTGGATACAATCCCGCACAACGCTATTTACGCTTTCGGCGTGTGTAACTTTAGAAATAACAGTTATGTAAAATGGGATTTTTTTTGTGCTATTTTTCTCCAAAAAATGTAAACTTTTTACTCCTAAGCACTAATACGAAAACCAAATGCCTGAAATCCAGCTTGGTACCGAATGCTTAGACTATTAAGTGTTCACTATTTAGATTCAACCCCTTAAAATACTTTTATTTACCTTTTTGAGTAAAAACAGCAATTGTAGCTTGAAAACCCAAATCCCCAACTCACAGTTCAAAATAGAACATTCGGGTTCTATCAGGGTTCTACATCATGTTCCAACAGCAGAAGGCACTGGAAGATTCCATTGCTGCATGGGGGTATAGACTTTTGGAACACTTCAATTTTGGACAGGGTTCATTTAGGAAAAGTCCATTTGAGCGGAAGGGGGATACATCTACTTTTGGTACGGGGGAGGCGGTGAAGCCATCTGCTGCATTTGCTCCCAAGCAAATGTCGGCCTTTCAAGTTTTGTCAGTTTCTTGATGGCATTTCTTGTTAAAATGATAACATAGTAAACCAGTCGTAATCTAGGCACACATACAGTTACATATTAACAGGGAGAGAAAGACAAAAACAATTTTATAGACAGATGCCAAAGATGATATTTTACTATGGTTTGAGGTGAGGTATTGATACTATCAACTGGGCCAATTTTGCCAAAATACATTACTTTTTTCATAGTGCTTCTGTTCAGGAAGCTCAATTGAGTGCATAGCTACATGTAGCATGTACTAAGTCTTCATGATTTTGACCTAATTAAAATTATAATGAGTGCTGGGTTTAATTCTACAGACTAAGGAGACAAATCCGAAAATGACTCAAATGAAAAAAAGGTGAAACAGAGCTCCTGTTAGCATTTATTCTATGCAATAGCTTCAATGTATCATGACACTGACAGTGAAGAAAAAGTACACAATGGAATCATGCACTTTTCTCTACTCTTGGACATGATTTTTCTGATTTGACAAAAAAAAAGAAAGAAAAATAACACAACTAGAGAAGTAACATTTGCAAAGCAAATGCATAATGTTTACCTTCGGACATGGTCTGCCCTGTTAATTTTTACTCAAACATATTCACATACATGTACTACTACATGTAGTATATGGTGACAGGAGCAGAGCAGACCATTAAGTTTGCAACATTATGGAACTCAACACCAGTCACCATGGTGACAGATGTCAACAAGTCATGTCATTGGCCAGGTCAGAGGTTAGTGTTTGGAGAAGAAGATGAGCAAATTGAGTAAAAATAATATGTTTTCCTTCGGTAAACATAATAACCCATTTAGGGTAAACATGACTTGTACAATGTATGTTAACACCAAGAATGGTCATAATTTGGTGTAAGAATCAGTGTTTTGTATTATATGTATCTTAATTAGCTATGAAGGGTTTGTTACAACCTCTTAAAGTTAAACTGTGAATAAAATGTGAGCAATGATAGATGTGAATTTTCTGTGTTTTTTATGATTCAAAATGTCAATCATTACTTGACCTGTATGAAATGTTAACCATTCCTGTCTTTGTTTACTCCTGTGCATAATATTTATATAATTATTACGCACATATGTGCGATCTACCACAGGTCTTTTTTTTTCAATTCTATCTCCCATGAATTTCCTACAAATGTCTGAGGACATGAAATTCAATTGTGGTAACTTAGAGACATCAGAAGTACAGGAAGGCTTCAAAACTTGATATGAGGACAACATTTTGTGATTGTTGAAATTGCTGAATTGTGTATTCCTTTTAGAAAATAAATATTGTGCCTGTCACAATAGTGGCACAGTCATGAAACGTGACAAAATCATATTCTATAAAAAATTCAACAATTTTTCAGCCCCCCTATTCCCTTTTATTAGGAATGGGTTATGTTCCCTCCAGTATAGACAGCTTCCACTTGGAGTCCTTCAGCTTAGCTGGTGGAGGAACAGCAACAACTGTTGGTAAAAGATAGAAATAGATGACTTAGCTAACAAAAGCTATATTTTGTACGCTGTAGGGAATTTAGAGGGCACTACACGGTGAGTAACCCCCAAAACACCCTAAAACCAGGACGGAATAATCATTACTGGTAAGCAGCCGATGCCAATTTACATGTACATGTAATTATCCACGACTTTTGTTGAGCATTGCAATAGTCGGCAGTATGAGTGATTCAAGAGTCACATGGCTATGGGACAGCATTAGGATTAGGGTGTACTCAGTTTACTAGCTGTTACATGAATCAGATATCTTTAATATGCTCCTTTCATGTCCTACTCAGATATCAGTGTACGTTGGAAAATTCATATCTGAATCACTACAAAAGCGACACCAGATTGTAAATAGCTGATATATCCCCTGAATTACAGAATGTAATAATACTCTTCCTAAGAAAACACAATAGATTAGCTTTAGTATCATCACTAGCTCGTTAGAATTATATGTAAACTTAGTATTAGTTTATGTATGTACCATTGTTGTTTCTTTGCCATACATTGTACCAGCTACAGTTGTTGAGCAATAAAGTTGATTTGTATAATCATTATTGTTATAAATAGAGACTCAGTGCATGTACTTACCTGGGTCTACAGGCTGTGGTCCAGCATTCATAGATGCCAGGATACTGTTAACTGTTGAGTGTGGACCAAGGGTCTGTAGCAGGCAGGTATTCAATTTAGTAACTCATTAGCATAATCATCATCATCTGAATAATAACCTTCACTGACAGTGAAAGTGATCTCGAACCAGTTTAGCTCATTGAAGAGCTAGTCTTCCTCCGGTTGTGACAGAGAAGACAGATGCTATGTACAGTATTTACAGGTTCATTGTACCGGGGAAATTCCCCTAGCTCTTTTCGACAAGCACAATGAACAGTGGACCACGGCTTAACGTCCCGTCCTAAGGACTGCAACCCTAAACAGTAGCGTGCATGTCGGTTGAGCGACAACAGCCAGGATTCAAACTCCCAACCTCTTAGTCCAGAGGCAGGATTGCTAACCACTGGACTATGCATGCTACTGATGTACTATGATCATCATAACACATTTACTTTTGATTATTATATAACTGGCGTTTTTCCTAATTTCATTGAATTTATTAGACTGTGACCTCTATCTCCCGCATGTGGTAGACGTCGCAAACCACCGCATTATTCCTACACTGCGTAATATGAGGGTGGGACCGTGGCACCATGATTATTTACATTGGGGTAGTTTGTGGTGGCACCACAAACTGAGTGTGCCTCGTGTGAGTTGTTTTCAGCGCAAACCATAAATGTCAGAAATGTTCACTGAGATTAATATAATAATTGCACAAAATATGTTACAAAGTGGAAGTAAATTACACGAAGATCACACAAAGATATTTTTCAATCAGAATATTTTTATCTTTGAACTTCTTTAAAAATACTTATCAATTTTTGGTGCAAAAATGTTACAAAATGCCCCTTTAAGCAGTGGTTAGTGTGTACATGACTTACCATTTGTGTCTGTGGACTGCCACCACCAGTCTGCCAGATCTCTGCAGTACAACTGTCCATCAGACTCAGGGTACCCTCCAGACAGGCCTGCAGCACTCCAGCCTCACAGTCAAACCCAAACAGTACCAACATCTTCAGCAAATTATGCACATCATCTGAAAATAACAAAAAAAGTTGTTGATGTCATACTGCTAACCCGAGGAAATAGCCTGTATTTCGAAGTGTAAATCAGCGAATCTACATGCAAGGCATCAATTGAGTGAAAAACTGGTCTGGGAGGGAAAAAAAATTAATCTCAGACTGACTATTCTCAGAACCTGAATCTATAGGATGGGTACCGAGGCACTGAAGATCGAACTAGTAACAGTTTTACTGTGTATTTCTTGTAAGTGTATATTTCAGGAAACTGTATAGAGTTCTACAACACCAATTTCCATTTTACAATTCAATTCACTCCATTCTAAAAACAATGCATAGTATTACGTATTGTATACATGTAACCTATTCTTGCATATTTGTATTTTATAGGACTTGGTCCAATTATATTGCACAATTAATATGATAAATGACCCAAAGCTACATATTCAAAGTTAGCTACTGTACATGCATGTACATGTAATGTAACTGTTACCATGAATACAGTTTTGTAAATCATTTTAGAAGTTGTAGTATGGCAAGATCGTGTGTTGTATTTGTACTGCTCATTGCTACACCCCCTCCACTTGCCAATAGCACTATTCTGGACTGTCGTGCTGACAAGTTGGCTATACAGACATGCAGAATTTCCTGTTTTTTTAAGACTTTCTCTAAAGACTTTTGTTTATACAATGTAGTTACATGTTATTTTTAATCAATTATATCGATTTCCTTTTCCAAGCATACAAAATGAACTGTACAAGATACCTTTGGATTTGTCTACCGCATCTACTATGTCTTTTAGTGCAACTAGTAATGCATGGTCCTCATATGGGCTGCCTTCCCGGAGACTAAGCTTCTTTCGTTCTGCTTTCCTACGGCTCTTGGCTGTTCGTCTGAAAAACACAGCAAAAGAAACCGTTCAGCATACAACATACAATGTACATACCTCATGCACAACTGTTGTCAGTACAACTGGTGACAGTAAACAACTGTTGACAGTACAATTGGTGATAGTACAACTGATGACAGTATACAACTGGAGACAGTACAGCTGGTGACAGTACAACTGTTGCAGTACAACTGATGACAGTGCAACTGATTACTGTATACAACTGATGACAGTACACAACTGGTGCCACACAAGTGGTGACAGTACAACGTGACAGTACAACTGGTGACAGCACAACTGGTAATAGTAGAACTGGTGACAGTACAACTAGTGACAGCACAACTGGTAATAGTACAACTGGTGACAGTACAACTGAAGACAGTACAACTGGTGACAGTACAACTGATGGCAGTATACAACTGAAGACAGTACAACTGGTGACAGTACAACTGATGACAGTATACAACTGAAGACAGTACAACTGGTGACAGTACAACTGATGACCGTATACAACTAAAGACAGTACAACTGGTGACAGTACAACTTATGACCGTATACAACTGAAGACAGTATGACTAATGAAAGTACAATTCGTGACAGCACAACTGGTAACAGTACAACTGACAGCACAGCTGTTAATAGTACAACTGTTGACAGTACAACTGATGACTGTATACAACTGGTGACAGCACAAGTGGTGACAGTACAAAATTTGATAGTACAACTGGTGACAGCACAACTGGTGACAGCACAACTGGTGACAGCACAACTGGTGAACTGGTGACAGCACAAATGGTGACAGTACAACATTTGATAGCACAACTGGTAACAGCACAACTGGTGACAGCACAACTGCTATCAGTACATCTGGTAACAGTATATTAAGTGATGACAGCACTGATGGTTAATTGAGAAAGTGTTGAAGACTTCTAAAAATTTGCACTCGGTATGTACATACACATATACTGACCCTGATGTTTTGGAGGTGCCTGAGTACTTTGCTGAGCTGTGGGAAGAGTGGGTCCTGGTGGTACTACTGGTGTCAGAGTAAAGGTCAACGTCCTGGTCTGCATGGTCTTCACCTGTACAGAATACAAACTTGTGTCCAACTAAAATCAACTTAACATTAATTCTACATACATGTAGATTGTGAGATAAAAAAAAAAATAAAGATGAAACTTTATAACAAGTGGTTTATAAAGATACTGGCAAAGTTCAGCTTTAGAAAATTTTGTTATAATTCTAAATATTAATTAACCAACTATATGGCATTAATAAATACTTAGTGCATCACATATACTAACTTTGGGTCCTGCATAATATTACATTTTTATTAGGCAATGCTGCCAGCTCGTGCATCATGTATTGCATTGTTGCAAGCCAAGTAATACAGTGAGGTTAAAAATCCAAGCAATATACTGTATCCTACTTACCTAAGATTTCTGTGCAAGCCTTGGCCTTCTCCTTTCTTACCACAGCAAGTCTGTCCTTATGTCTGGTGAACAGTGCTTTGTTATCCTGTAGGAAGGCCAGCTGTCTCTGAGAGGCTGGAAACAGAATAGATGTAAGACTGTAAGTTGTGTTGTGTATTTAAAGCCAAGATGGGATTTCATAAGTTTTGGGATACATACATGTATGTGTAGCAATGTTTCATATGGCCAACATTCAGAGGCTGTATTAATTTCTTGTAAACTAATTCTTCATATTAGGCCACACTGACTTAATTTTATGGATGACATCCCCCGAAGAGCCCCAAACTAGTGCGCGCGGGGGAGTTAAAAAGAACCTGCCAAAAAATAAAAATGCTACTTAGCGACTTATACGACAAGCCGGCACATGCTGTTTTTTTGCGGAATTCATGAATCGTGGCACTGTACGTATATACTGAGTTCTTGAGTTGTGGCGCTTTGGTAGCCTGGATTCCTGGCTCTGTATTGTCGCTAACTACCATGGACTACCCAGGCCTAGAGCCAGGCCAGAGACTCGGAGGATGTGATCTTTTTTTTTTTTGGAGAACAGGCAAAAATCAATGTGCGAGCGGATGTCATCCATGAAATTAAAATGGTGTGACCTTTTGATTGACCTTACGAAGACAATGTCCTTATTATTTTGCATATTAATCATTGTGGGAAATATTATATAATAAGTAATTTACCAAAAAGACTTTACAGAGTCTTAAGCTTGGAAAGGACATGTGTGAGAAATATTTCCTGATGACATGTTTACTAGTTACACACCTTCCAACAGTGCAGGTTTGAAGTTGGTGTCAATAATATCTGTCCTGTTGTACTTGTTAATCTGAAAAAAAGGAACTTTTTGTCACTATACATTGAAGACCACTAAACTGCACACAGTCATCAAAAACAAAAATGATGAACGTACACGAGGCCACACATTTCATTTGTTGGTTGTAGGAGTTTGAAAATTCTGGTAATGCTAAACTGAATATCAGATAGAAAACAGAGCGAGCGGGGGGGGGGGGATAATTGGTCAAATTAAAGTTTTTAGTCCACTTGTGTTTCCACTAATGTAGACAAGTTGCATTGTTTTTTGGCGACGTCTCAGGGAGGAGCCTAATGGTACAGTATTGTGTGCAGTTTGCAAGAATTCTAGGAATGGTACCGTACAGTCAGGCATTTTGTCCACAGGTGTGGAATGTCCACAGGCATTTCTCTGACCTACATCTATGCCCACATTCCTGGAAACCCTTGGGAAGACCTGTCTGCCCCAGATGGCCCTACTTTCTGTCACCCTGGGGCTCGTTCACTATACACTCAGGGGAGGAGTGCACTGAATCTGTCTAGACTTAACAGGTACCAAATCTTCCTCAAAAAATCATGAAATGATGGCAGTGCCATGCAAACAATAATCCTAACAGCAACCACCGTCGCCATGGCAAGGTATGTTTTAATTGCCAGTCTTGTTTAACTTTATACTTCAGTTTAGTTCAAGACATAAACTGGCATGGTCTGATGATCAATAAACAAGAACAATCCATTATCAAACTGACGACAAACCACTCTAAGAGCCTCCTCCCATTGGTTCCCTTCCAACAAGGTGATGATAGCTCCCTCCTCATCCTATGTATAAGAAAGGACATTCAACATGTTGTAGTCAACATAGCACGTTGGCAAAATGTAAAAAGGTAAAAATGATGTAAGAAGTATGAAGCAGCCATTGAGGACCCCCTGGGTATTAACCCGAATCTGCAGAATTATCCAGAATTTTGGAGCTCCAGACAGAATTCTGCAGAAATTTATATGGAAATAAAGTTCCATTGGCCCATGACAACGATTGGTGTCTTGTCTCCATTTCTTGCTGCTGAAAGTCATCCCACGTTCCTGCTCTATTCTCTACATCTATCATTATGATTATTATAATATATATTATGATCAGCCAGATACCTGAACATACTGCTCCAACAGTACAGCTGCCTCACCCTGTCTGCTGTTGTTCCTCAGAAAACCTGCCAGGACAGACAGACAACTCATCAGTAGCTGGAACATCAGATTCTGTTTCAAAAGATGAAAATGTTTAACTACAGTATCTACAAGTTTGCCAAGAAAATACAGGTCTAGTTGTGCACCAGATGGCATCACTTAGTGACAAAATAAACTGGCTTTGAGCCAGGTTTATAACTACATGTACTGCAGACCTAGTTGTTCTTGATGATTCTAACTTCAAAAATTGCCTTGGATGATCCTCTTCTTACATATGATTGTGCTAATGTGTCAAAGAGCAATTTTAGAATAAAAGGGTGTATTCCCTGGAAGAGCCTGCAGTACGTTTTAGTCCATGACATGTTTCCATCACACAGAATGCACCTTGTACCTTGTACAATACAAATGTACATTAACTCAGAAGTAACCTGCACTAGTATGTATTATGTACCATACCTTTTCTTGGTGCTGAAAGACCATCCCCACCCTGAACTATCATGTACCATCCCTTTCCTTGCTGCTGAAAGACCATCCCAACCCTGAACTATCATGTACCACCCCTTTCCTTGGTGCTGAAAGACCATCCCCACCCTGAACTATGATGTACCATCCCTTTCCTTGGTGCTGAAAGACCATCCCAACCCTTAACTATCATGTACCACCCCTTTTCTTGGTGCTAAAAAACAATCCCCACCCTGCACTATCATGTACCACCCCTTTCCTTGGTGCTGAAAGACCATCCCCACCCTGAACTATCATGTACCATCCCTTTTCTTGCTGCTGAATGACCATCCCCCCTGAACTATCATGTACCATCCCTTTTCTTGCTGCTGAAAGACCATCTCCCACCCTGAACTATCATGTACTACCCCTTTCCTTGGTGCTGAATGACCATCCCCCCTGAATTATCATGTACCATCCCTTTCCTTGGTGCTAAAAGACCATCCCCACCCTGAACTATCATGTACCATCCCTTTCCTTGGTGCTGAAAGACCATTCCACCCTAAACTTTCATGTACCATCCCTTTCCTTGGTGCTGAAAGACCATCCCCACCCTGCACTATGATGTACCATCCCTTTCCTTGCTGCTGAAAGACCATCCCCACCCTGAACTGTCATGTACCATCCCTTTTCTCTGTGCTGAATGACCACCCCCCACCCTGAACTATCATGTACCATCTCTTTTCTCTGTGCTGAATAACCATTCCCACCCTGAACTATCATGTACCATCCCTTTTCTCTGTGCTGAACTATCATGTACCATCCCTTTCCTTGGTGCTGAATTACCATCCCCACCCTGAACTATCATGTACCACCCCTTTCCTTGGTGCTGAAAGACTGTCCCCACCCTGAACTATCATGTACCATCCCTTTCCTTGGTGCTGAAAGATAATACCTACCCTGAACTATCATGTACCATCCCTTTCATTGCTGCTGAAAGACCATCCCCACCCTGAACTATCATGTACCATCACTTTCTCTGTGCTGAAAGACCATCCCCACCCTGAACTATCATGTACCATCCCTTTTCTCTGTGCTGAAAGACCATCCCCACCCTGAACTATCATGTACCATCCCTTTTCTATGTGCTGAATGACCATCCCCACCCTTAACTATCATGTACCATCCCTTCCCTTTGTGCTGAAAGACCATCCCCACCCTGAACTATCATGTACCACCCCTTTCCTTGGTGCTGAAAGACCATCCCCACCCTGAACTTTCATGTGCCACCCCTTTCCTTGGTGCTGAAAGACCATCCCCACTCTGAACTATCATGTACCATCCCTTTCCTTGGTGCTAAAAGACCATCTCCCGCCCTGAACTATCATGTACCACCCCTTTCCTTGGTGCTGAAAGACCATCTCCCGCCCTGAACTATCATGTACCATCCCTTTCCTTGGTGCTCAAAGACCATCCCCACCCTGAACTATCATGTACCATCCCTTTCCTTGGTGCTGAAAGACCATTCCCACCCTGAACTATCATGCACCATCCCTTTTTTATTGTGCTGAATGACCATCCCCACCCTGAGCTATCATGTACCATCCCTTTCATTAGTGCTGAAAGACCATCCCCCACCATGAACTATCATGTACCATCCCTTTCCATGATGCCTTGCGAGGCGACCTGCTGCGTTTTCTAGAGCTCCACTTTCTCTAGGAGTTTTAGTTTCCTTTCTAAGCCTTTTTCCTTAGTTTTTCAAGTTATTCCGTTTCGTAACCTCCCGGCAAAGATACCAGGATAAGGTTGAGAGTACAACTCTCCTTATTCCTGCTTTGCTGATCCTTGTTTCCTGATTACTACAACGACGACAACCGCCCCCTCCCACCGACAGCCATGAGTTATGCGTCAGCAGTCGAGAATGGCAAGGCCATAGACACCGCGCCGACGGCCCCTAACGCACCGCCAGCATCCTCATGTAAACCAGTATTCTTTCTGGAGAAGGATGTTCATGCCGTTAGTCCTTCCGAGACTTTCTTCACGAACGTCGAGGTCTACAAAGCTGTTGCGCGCCGTGTTCAAGCGTCAAACATAGCCGGAATACAACAGGTTCGCGGCCTGTGGCGTCTCTACCTACGCGATCCAGAGGAACGTGCTTCTCTCATCGCGTCAGGGATCAGCCTCCGCGACAGGTATGTTGAAATCAGTGACAATCACCCTTTTCAACAGCGAAACGGAGTTAGAATCACAGTTCGAGATGTGCCCCTTTCCGTAGACGATGGAGTTCTAGCGTCTGGCCTGAAAAGCTACGGGGCTAAACTTCTCGGGCCTTTGAAACGTGAAATGCTTCGAGTCGACGGTATGCTGACCAACTGTGAAACCGGCGACCGATTCGCCTTCATGGCTATTCCGACAAACCCTACTGAGCACATTCCGAGATTTGTCGAGCTTGGAGGGCGATGGAGGGCAAGAGTGTTCTACCGAGACCAACCTAAGGACCAGACGCGACCGCGACATGTCCCTAATGACAGTGCTCGCGTGGCTTCTACCCTTGCTCCACGTCCCCCTACCGACACCACTGCTGGGAATGAAGAATCCAGTAATGAACAGCAGAGTCGGGTCAGCACAGCTTTTGTTCAGCTTGCCCCCAGCTCACCTGAAGAGGAAGATCACAGAGACAGGCCTGAGCAATCTCAGGTTAACAGGGGAAAACAGAGCCAAATCACAGACTATGTTGCACCAGCAACTCGTACTAGGAACAGGGGAAGACCCCGGCCCCAGTCCCAGACAACGAACAAGACTACCGCACCAACCGTGGCAACGAGAAGTACCACAAAGAAGAACCAGTCCTCCACTACAACTAGCAGCATAAACACAGACGACCAAGCAGCGATCATGAGACAACGCATCGACGACCTCGTCGAGACAAGTCGTAATGCTGCCAGTGGAACTCACATCGATACTCCTGGCAACTTCCGCAGAGTCAGCCCCGAAGACGGAGGCCTGAACTGTTAGACATGACATTACTTGGGACTCATGCTACCTGTAAGTCACACTCACTCCCATGACCTCTGAACTTAGTTTACTTTCCCTAAATGTACGCGGCTTACGCAACAAATGTAAACGAGACATCGTTTACCTTTGGCTAAGTCAACAGAAAGCGGACATCTTCCTCCTTCAAGAGACATACTTTACCACTGATATTCTTAGTGATCTTGAATTAGACTGGAATGGCTTACAATTCCACGACTTTGGTAGCACCCATAGTCGAGGGGTCTCAATACTCTTTAGAAAAGGACTGGATGTTGATGTAGCTGATGTCTTAAAAGGTAATGATGGAAGAAAACTGATTGTTATATTGCATGATCTCTGTATCCTCAATGTTTATGCCCCCAATGATCGCACTGAGAGAGGGAAATTCTTTAGCGATCTCTGTGATTGGGTAAATGATAACCAGATCACTAACCTGTTAGCAGGTGGAGATTTCAATGATTTAAATGATTGTGAGTTAGATAGGCAATCAAAACACACATTGAAAACACCCACAGGTGGGAATTCCTTGAATAATTTAAAGCAAAACTTACTCCTGGTTGACATCTGGCGGAAATTCCATCCCAAGAGGAAACAATTTACTTGGAGAAGGAAGAATCCAGGACCAGTGGCCTCCAGAATTGACTTCTGGCTTATTCAAAAATCTCTTGTCGAACACGTTTTACAGTGTACCATAAAGCCTTCCATGAAATCTGATCATAAGGCCATCTTTATAAAACTGCAACTAAACGAACAAAAGCGTGGGCCAGGACTCTGGCGACTAAATACATTATACCTTTCCGATCAAGATTACATGGACGGTGTTGAAAATTCTATTTTAGAGGTTACTCTGGAACACAAAAACTCTAATATTTCTAAACAGCTCCTATGGGAACTTATCAAGAAACGAATCAAGGAATTCTCCATTGGCTTCTGTAAACGGAAAGCCGCCTTAATGAAACAAGATCTTACTTACTTAGAAAAAAGACTACTAGAACTAGATCATAAAATAGATGAAAACTTAGATGAAACAACTTTAAAGGAATATATTACCGTAAAAACAGAGATTGAGAAAATCTACCAATTAAAAGCCAAAGGTGCTCAAATTAGAGCACGAACAGAATGGGTTGAAAAAGGGGAAAAATCTCTTTCCTACTTTCTCAACCTTGAAAAATGGCAAGCCGCAAATAATAATATCACTAAACTAACTGATGGCGACACTGATGTCACCGATCAGGGGAAAATCTTACAGCTAGAAAAATCCTTTTATGAACGTTTGTATACAAGAGACAACTCAGTCTCTGACAGTGATATTGACATGTTTCTAGATACTGTTGAACTAGAATCTAGCCTTTCTGAACATCAAAGACTGATTTTAGAGAAACCCCTGGAAAAGGGGGAATACTTTGAGGCTTTAAAAGCAATGAAAACTAATAGATCCCCAGGAATTGATGGACTTCCTGCAGAATTCTATCTTACATTCTGGAACAGCATTGGAGATTTTGTTTTCGATGCTCTAAAAGAATCTATGAAAAAGGGATGTATGTCCCCGTCACAAAAAAGAGCAGTCCTTAAACTTATTTTTAAAAAGGGAGACAGAAAAGATCTCGCCAATTGGAGACCTATCAGTCTCCTTAATACTGATTATAAGTTGCTGGCAGCTGCCTTGGCAAAAAGACTCCAAGCAACTCTCCCAACTCTCATCTCACACGATCAAACAGCTTATTTGAAATCTAGATTTATCGGTCAGAATGTTCGTGTTTTACATGATGTTATCTTCTTTTGCAACCATTATAACATTCCAGGAGCTATCATCTGCCTTGATTTCCAAAAGGCTTTTGATACAGTTAATTGGGACTTTATGTTTAAAACGCTTGAGAAATTTGGCTTCGGACCGAACTTTATCTCTTTAGTTAAAATGATTTATACAGACATAGAATGCTGTATAACTAATTTTGGCTGGAAGACAGCTTTTTTCCAGCTCCAACGTGGTATCCGACAGGGTTGCCCACTCTCTGCCCTTCTATTTAATTTAGTCGTAGAAATACTAGCCCTGAAAATTCGACATAATGACTCGGTTAAAGGTATTAATGTTAAAGTTCATGACCTTGATTTTGAAATTAAGATTAGCCAGGTCGCCGACGATACGACACTAACATTATCTGACGACCTTTCTATACGCACGGCTCTTGATATTGTGGATTCCTTTAGTTTAGTTGCAGGACCTAGATTAAACTTAGGGAAATGTGAAGCATTATGGGTAGGATCCTTTCAGAAACGTAAAGATAAACCTTTCGGCATTACATGGCCGGAAACGCCCATTAGATCCCTAGGATTGCACTTTAGTCTTTCAGAAGAGGTATGCGAATCTTTGAATTGGAACAAAAGGATATGTAAGATTGAAAATATGTTCCAAAGGTGGCAGAAACGTAGATTAACTCTGTATGGAAAATGTTATGTTATAAAAACTTTAGCTTTATCTCAAGTTGTCTACAATATGTCTATGATTCCAACCCCAGAATGGGTACTTAAAAAAATTCAAAAACTAGCCTTCTCGTTCCTTTGGGATAATAAACCTGACAAAATAAAACGTACAACACTATATTCCAACTACTCAGAAGGGGGAATCAAAATGGTTGATATATTCTCCAAATGTAAAAGCCTACAAGCGGCCTGGGTAAAGAGACTTATACAAACAGATCACAATAACATACGAAGATGGCAAGCAATACCTTTACATTTTATTACCAAACTTGGAAGACATTACGATATTTTTAGATGTAATTTTGATGTTAAAAAAAATACTCTACCCCTGACTAAACTCCCACCCTTTTATAGAGAAGTGGTTCTAGCCTGGCAGAAACTTGGAGGGGGGAAGGGGGATCCTGTGAAAATATACGATGATAGAATATGGTCAAACGAAAATTTCAAGATAAAGATTCGCAAGGAAAGCCATATGATATGGATCAATTTATGCAAAATACCTATAGAAAAGCTTGACACCAAATTTTTATACTCTCTTTGTCTGTCTACAATTATCACTATACCTTCCTCCCAATCTTACTGGGACAGTCTTTTCCCGAATCTTAACTGGAAGAAAATATGGGAAACACAAACCAGAAGATTAAAAGAAAATAGATTAAAAGAATTCAACTTTAAATTACTGCATAAAATACTTCCTTGCAAGTTTTTATTGAACAAATGGAAAATAGTTAATACCCTAGGAACCATATACAGTCCCAAATGCGACATTTGTAACCAAGATGAAAACTATGTTCATATGTTTTTTGAATGTAAAAGGATCAAAGACTACTGGGGGGGAGTTAAGCACTTGCTTTCAGAAAATGATATTACTATAGACACAAATACGATAGCTTCTGTACTATTTGGAGATAATTTTTATGTCACCTTAGCAAAATATACAATTTATGTATCTTGGATAGCATACAAGGATCATCCTGAGTTATTTAGAAAACACAATGTGCTACATTTGTTTAAGACATTCACTCATGATTACTATTCAGAATGACAAGAATAAGACTCTCTACTCTGTCTCTGAAAGAGAAATAAGATAAGCACACACACACACAAAAAAAAAAATGTTTTATGTTCGCAAGACTCATGTACTTCATTAATTTATTATGCTTATATGCTGACATATTATTTGTAACATACATGTGGAGAGAATAAAGTGCCGTGGCG